CTAAAGTTTTAGCTGATATACTTGTTGAGTTGTCATAATTACCCTCAAGCACATGGGAGCCAGATCATTAAGTGCCAAAYGACAACACTGGACATGAAATGTTCAGAAAACACCATTCGATGTGAGCACAGTATTGCTTTGCACACATCACTCAAAAAAACAGACTGTTGGATTTACTTAATCAGCTTTTGTYAAGCATTTCCACTCAACTTAGTTGAGTAAATGTAAAGCAACGTTCACATTTACTTTAAAAGAAAATGTGAAAATTGCCTTACATTTACGTTTTACATTTAATACAAGTTATACTTCACACTTAATACAAGTTCTTCTAATTTACTACGTAAATTAGAAGAACTTGTCATTTTTGTATTAGGACTGTATACCTTAGATTCAACAACCTTTGGGTTACATGCTTGTTTTACTGTAAAGACTTTAAAGTAAAAGAAACTGAAACTTGACACAATGGGGAGCTGATGGAAGGCCAGGATGTGTCTTCAYACAGCCCCAGAAGTCTTTTAATTTTTGAAAGCCATGCCTGGGAAGAATGATGATAAATGGCTGTTTTCCTGTGATTTACCTTGAGGAGAATGGATGGAACTAACCGGATGGATAGACCTCATTAGAGTACGRGGAAACGAGGAGGGAAATAAAGATTGTAGAGGAGAGAACACAGAAAAGGGGGTTTCCTGCTTTAGTCTGATGTGGGAGTTGAGTTTTCTCTAAGGTGAGATGTACGTTAAAATGTCATTATTTATTCACAGAATATTAGCTCTTGTTAAGCTTGAAGGAAATTTTGTAAYTGATCAACTRGATGCTAGAWCCAGTATTGTATTTTTATACATTCTGATTATTRCAGCCAYAAGGTTCAAAACAGAAAATRAGAGTTGGTGTGWCTTAATGTTCTTTCTGTCTTCAGAAACAATAGTTGGTTATGTTAATGTCTGACAACAGGGGTGTAACCAGGAAAAGGCATACGTTATAGGCTGATTTATTATTTAATGAGTAGGAGTTTAGAAGTTTTGGCAGAATCTCAGTTTTCGATTCAGCCTAGAACTGACTGGACTGCTGTGTTTTCGTATTCAGATAAGATGAAGGTCATTTTACTCTGAGGCCTATAGCTGCTGCTGATTGGAGAGMGATAAGAATAAAGCCTTTTTGGAAGAGATTCAACTGGTTTTCTGCTATATTATTCAGACTTCCATTTTTTGATCACAAATTCCCTTCAAGCTTAGAGCAGAGAGACGTCGCTTCACAAAATACTAGCTTCCCCCTGAAAACCCCTTCTAGCCTCTGAGAGGAAACACACGTGCACAGCTTATTATAGTCAGATTATCAACAAATGCACAGTTCATTAACTAATAATTTATTTTTTTATCATTTAGATGAAAAAGTCAGTGGTTCATTGCCTCTGAGAAAATAAATGTACAAGGAAGACTTTGATATAATAAAAGTGAAAAGCAGAACGGGACTGGTGGAAGACTCTCCATATGTTTTTTCCACGAGAAAAAAAAAAGTAGGTGGAGAAGTTTTGTGTGAAAGCACCATTATCTCAAGGACAYTGATGTAACAGACCATGGCGGGCTCATGTGTCAGTTTCTATCTGTAGCTGTGTAGCAAAGGGTCCAATCAGTTCCGTTCCATTCAAGTGAACGTAATTTACAGTTGGGTGGTTTGTTGTGTGGAAACAACATGAAAACAAAAAGGAATACATTCGGCACAATAGTCAAACCACATCCTCTGGTCATAATCACACACAACAACAACAACAACAACAACAACAAAAACATGTTCCCAACTTCTACATCCATATAATATCTATAATAATCTGGTTTTGTACATCCATACACGTGAGCGACGCTTTACAAAGACAACAAAAGAGCCAGAGTCAATTCAGTTCATACAGTATTTACAACATGAAAATGCATCAAAACACATTAAACAATGTGGGGATATAAACAGAGCGCACATGCGTAATATTTCTTCATACTCCTTTTCCTCTGCGTGTTCAGTTTATGTGCATTTCACTTGTTTCCTCAGAGAGGTTGATTAAACACACAAAGACACATGCATACACCTGTGGAAGCTATAAAAGCTGCAGAAAGCGGGAGAGAACCCAGTAAAAGCTCAGTTCCCCTGCCAAGCTCCCAGGCTTGTTAATGTTAAACAACAGCACCGCTCTCCCTATGAGGCTCACTAAATAGCTTTCATGAGAACAAAGTAAATCCAACTTTCCAACATTCAGGGTGGGCACGTAAAAAATAAAGGAAGACTAGAAGCCAGTATAGAGAAATGTGTGCAGTTCTCCTTAAAACTAAGCACTTAAGAAAACTTCAGTTCTTTCTCAAATGAGTCATGCCACCAGGACTCACATTATTTGACAGTCAATCATGTTGTGTCGAAGACCTTTGCTACTGCAACACTAATGAACGAATGATCAAACTTAATTTACTCTGCAAAAATTTGTCCATCTAACCAAGTCTTATATCTTCTATCCAGCTGAAATGTATTTTTTGATCCTGATTTGAGACTGATATACTGAACAAGAGCAGAAAGTGTTTGATTGTTATTCTTAGTCTATTTTTTTTCCTAATTTCAAGATGCAGTATATTACCAAGTGCAGTTGTGTTATGCCATTGGTATATTATTTTACCTAATTTAAGAAATTTGAAAAGATAATGACTCAATTTTTTTCCTTAAAATTAGGAAAAAATTCCACACCAACATTTCTAGTGACATTCCATCACTGTTATTGTTACATTGCAGTTGTTTTTTTTTTATTCTTTTTGTCACATCAAAACTTGTCAATTTTGATTGGAAAGAATTAAAGTAAYAGTTTAATAGAGTATTGGCTTTCATAACATCCATATTCTTTTATCTAAAATCAATATTTAATGAACTCAGTCACACCTGTGTGACTTTCTTTTTACAATCTTTGAATGTGGTGTTTAGTGGAAAAGTTATGAACAATTATTATCTTATATACTGCAGCCCCAGTTTGAAACAAACAATTTAAATGTACTAGACTGACAAACAAATGGCTAGTCCAAGTGAGGCCAAAATGTAGTCGATTACTGTCGTTTTTTTTTTTTTTTTCAAATTTCAATCCCAAAAATCTCTTTGTGATTTACACATAAAAATATTTCATAACCTTCACATTTCTGCACATTTTACATTATGATTATTTACATAGAAAATATTGTTTTTTTCTAACAAAAAGTGCCAGCAGCATCTAGATCAGTGGTCCCCAAACTACGGCCCGCGGGCCAAATCCGGCCCGCCTCTCCATTTGGTCCGGCCCCCAGAACAATACCAGAGAGCATTTAGTTTTTTTTCATATATGTGTATTTACTGTATATTTGATTATAAAGCTGGACTTTTGCAATAAAATGTTCCTTAGTTATGAACTGTTTTCATTATTAACTATTATTAGTTAGTAACTATTTCATACATACACATATAACGTGACATTCTGTTCCACCCTTCTGCGGTCTGTGTCCCTATCTGGCAACCCCCAGAAAAAAATCCTAAACCCGCCCCTCTCAAAGAGAGAACGGAATAATGGCGAAAAGATTAGGTAAGAGAAAAATTGATTCAGAATGCAGGGCATTTAAGCTGCAATGGACAAACGATTATTTTTTTGTTCATCTGCCAAGGGGTGGTGGCGGTATTCAAAGAATACAATCTGTAGCGACACTATTAATCCCGTCACAAAGACAAGTATGATAGCCTGCAAGGCCAAATGCGAGCAAACAAACTCTYAAAGCTAAAAGGTGGACTGTTAGCTCAGCAGAATACATACTGTGAAGAACCCAGAGAGGGTTATTTGATTGTGCTTTCTGGAAAACAATAAATTTTTACATTTAGGCACTCCTGCAATAGTCACACTTTTTCTGTTACAAACTGACTCTGGCCCCCCACCAGAGAAGGGAAAAGTTATGTGGCCCTTACAGGAAAAAGTTCGGGGACCCCTGATCTAGATGCTCTTCCAGTGCAGTCTGAAACACTTCTACTGGAATATTATATTTCTGCTGTTTTAAACACATAATGCAAAACTAGCAGAAAGATTAAAGATTATAAGGATTTACATGAATGGCTATAAAACCTTTCATACGGGAGCTGTTTTGTGACACTAGTTTCAAAGGTGACTGTGCTTTTTTCCCGCACTAAAGGTAGCGGAAAGGTAGCACTAAAGGTATTAGCTTATCAACATGGCAAACAAATAAACTTCATTTCTACGAACTGAGGTTACTTAAAAATATCTGTAACAGGTAAGATGTTACTTGTTCTCAACCTTTCCACAAAACCTCTGTTTGAAAGACAAAACTATCCCTTTAAACTTAAATTGTCAAAACAAGTAAAAATGTATACTGCAGTGATTTAAAAATAAAAACAGCAGCGTGGAGTCTGGCAGTCTCCCTTCTGGGCTGTCCGTTAACTAAAACATGAAATCCACGACATGTAAAACAAGTTAGAGATAATATGAGGAGCTGGCGGCTGACACAAACCGAGCAAATTGGCAAAATCAAAGGAGTGTGACCACTTGCTAGCATGAGMTGCGTGCATCTTTATCTGCTCCTCCGTGTACACAGATCGTTGTGTCCTTCAACAACTGCAACAACAGAATCAGATAGATGCTGATCCTGAAAACAGACAGGTTTTCAGTGGTTTTAGTCAGTCGTGACTTTTATAGTCTCCTAATTGAATAAAAACTGATTGGACTTATTTGGTAAAGAATGACAGGATTGTGTTTTAAGGATCAACAAGTGGTAAAACACGACTCGGGAAGCCTTCCTCGGACCTTCTACACTCATATTGTTTTAGTTTGCTCTCAACTAACTGTAAGGTTTTGATGGACCAGCAAAAAACCACAAACATGCAAACAAAACAAAGCGCATGAGAGGTGGAACACGATCCCCTCATGTCATAATACAATCAGTGAGGACCAAAAAGTTTCCAGCCTCATTCATTTTGTCAAAGTATACTGGAGAACAACACAGCTATGATGTTTATCCCCCATCTCCCTACTTTTTTTTTCTTTTTACTGCATGAAATGGAACTATTGTTTCTTATTTTGGCAGGAGCCTGCCAGTCTTCAGGTACATACAAGACATTTAAAGACAAAGAAAGATGTTTGTCACACAATAACATCTGGAAGACAGTAACCAGAAGAAGACATTGTCCATTAAACAAACAAAAAATGTCTCTGGAAATTATTTTAAACTCCAGCCATTTGTCCACGCCACTTCATCTCTTGTCTAGAAAAACGTAACATGCAGTGAGGCATGACTTTACAACTCACTCATGAGGCAAAGAGGCACAGCCTCACAGGCCTAGAATGTGACTAAATAGAGCTTAAATAGATTAATTTCCAATAAGGATACAAGTGGGAAATGGACAAATGTGAACACAAGCTTTTATATGAAGAAACATTATTATGAACTTGTAGAAAAAAGATCCCATGTAATGAGTTTATTCTGTGAGCACTGTCTTATGGCAGCATGATGGTGATGCTGAGGTTTGCTGTGGAAAATGTCCATGCTTTGGGAGCCCTTAGTTCCTTATGTGAATTTGTTTTAGATGCAGTCAAAAGAAGTCACTAGCAAAAACTTGGAGCAAGTAGGCCCATTTTGTGTGCTGATAGGTTGTTGGTGGTCGAGCTTCTGTAGATAAGTGTTGAACAAGTTGATGAAAAGCACCTTCAAAGGTGACAATCACTGTGACACGAAATCCTCAAGAAACAGCCGAGCATGAACCAAGGTGATCAGTCTTACATTATGTTAAAGGACTAAAACAAAGTGTCGGCATACACTCTTAACAGGTAGAGGTCAAACAGGTTGTACAAGGTGGACCAGTGAGGATTTCGGCTGTCTACATTAGTTTAGGGAATGGTGCCTGCTTTTGTCTAAGATTAAACTCTTTTTAATGGTCCCTTTTTAAGGCAAACCAACTGGACAAAGAAACAAAAACCAAGTGGCATTCTGAAGATAAATCTTAAAAATCAAAATGCAAATAATTATACAATATACACAAAACATGGTCCTTGAAACAGGTAAGGTACATGCAGTTTTTTTATGTGCAGTGTTCCCACAATCATGAAGAACTGATTCAGGAAGAGGAAAACAGTCAGGGCATATGTATGAAAGTCTAAAGTGAAGTGAGAGGTAGGGACTGAATGCAGTGTTCCAATCACGCTTTGCCACATTTTCCCTTCTTCTCTTTGCGTTGGAACTTCCTCATACGTCTTGTCCAATTGTCCCTCCACTGGATCACYAGGCTGTTCTTGTCAGCCACCAGTCCTGTGCGCTCTGTTCCTGGACTGGAAGCCCCACCTCCAGGCCCAACTCCCGGACCTCCCATTGGCCCTTTTCCTCCTTCAACTCCACCCAGTACCAARAATCTCTTGCTCATTTGGATTTTGGGACATTTACAGGCCAGGTCTTTCATGTGGACCCATAGGGTGTTTTCCCCTCGCTTCAGGGGTTCGCCTCGGCTTTTGTACACAGAGACCACATTGACCGTGAACTTGGCCCAGTCCCCAACTGTGTCCATGTCCACCACGTTCACCTGGACCGCTGAGAACACAATGCAAAGAAATGAATTCAGTCCATTACTATGAATACAACACATGTATAAATATGACATGACAATTCTTACCATAATCCTTCTTGCAATACTTCTTCATATTAATCTTTAGGTTGCCCTTCACTGGTTTACAATAAGAGTCACAATCTGCAAAAAATAAAACCAGGACAACAAAGCATTTAATTCTGCAGCTGAAAAGATCCTTTGCTGGAACACTCTAGAAATGATCAGCTATAGCTAGTGTGACAAAATATGGTAAACTGTTATGATCCTGGAAACCACCAATAAACAAACTCAAGAGCGTGAGCATAAATCACCATGTGCTTGTTTCTGTAGATGAACCAAAAGTCATATTTTATTTTTAAATGTGAAAACATGAAAATGGAGGAATTAATGCTGTACTTCTGTTTTACATTATGTATGTAAATACTGCACAGTGAGTGAGAATGAATTCACGGACAGGGTCGATGACTCCAAGACAAACTGGTTGGGTAATGTCAAGTTTGCTTTTCGTGAGCAAAAATACAGCTTCTGACAAATAACTGACACATACCAGAAGGGTAAAAGTGTTCAGCCTGACATGTTTTTGTAGGTTTTGAGAAAAGACAGTCTGGTGGAAGCAGGTCATGGTTGGATGACTGTTGACTAGGCTTTTGCTGCCAGGGATGACTGAGACCACACATTGGGTCAGATGACCGCCTCTGACCAGTCTTGGGTGGACTTCCAATAATGAGGTGTTGTATTTATACCTGTCACAGTGGAGACTCATGTCTAGGCTGAGCTCAGGTCTCTTCTTGACCAAGGTTGATGCATCATAGTCAGCATTAATGCACAAGCAGCTTATTCAATCAAAACCTTTGGTTACGGAGGTAACACTGGTTACCCTGGTTTGAAAGAAAACTATTTCCCCAATTAATTTCAAGTAACTACCTTACTTTTTTAACATTTGTCTCAAAGATTGGCAAGCAGGATCACATTAAAGCAGACTAAATATATTAAATTAAATTTACTGTTGACTTTAATGATCACCTTATGTCATGATGCCAAAACTTAGAGCAGGCATAAAGCAGTTCAAAGTCTCCGGCACACATGAACATGATCATGGTTTGTTTTCTTGAAATTCTAAAATATTTATTGTGTTTTTTCAACAATAAATACTTTGATTCTCAATATGATTGCAAAAGGCATTTTTCATCATCTGAGAGCAGAGAAAAAGAGAAACAGAGTGAAATTCATAATGACTGAATCCAACAGAAAAGCAGAACCTAAAATAAACTGAAAATAAAACCACCAGAAAAAGCTCTGATACACTTCGAGACCAGATGCTGAAACTATGGATAAAAACATTTAAGATAAAATAAGAAAGCT